CATTTAGTAATTTTAAACGAAAGTCTGACATGTTCTGGTTATTGATTCATGAATGAATTAGCTTTCACTGCACAAAGGAGTTTCTCTGTCTAGTTGCTTTAGCATTTCTAGAAATACTCTAAAGCCCTGACAAAATAATTTCCCTTGTGAGAATGTTGCTTTCACCGAAATAGTTACTGTTGCTTCCTAATCTGTATCAAGAATATGCTAGCTGCTCTTATTTTCATTGTATTTATTTGTACTTTATGTTTTCATGTTTATTTTATTTGTTATTTAAAAAGTATTTACATTAGTGTCTGGCCTTCCTTGTTCCCATGCTTGTTTTTCATATTAATGATCCTTATTTTTTCTTATATTTATATTTGTACTATATATTTGTCCCTGTCCTTCTACCTTATTTTTATTTTACATATATTATCACTTACCTTATTATTTTTGCATTATTCATTTCACATATATTATTAGAATGGCATAGGCCGAAGGCAACACACAAATAGCATTTGTTCCACTGCTAATATTATAAATGAAAACAAGGGTAGCTTTTCATTCATTAAAACTTATTAAACTGTAATGTACTACAACAATCTTTCCAATGTATTTCAGAACCAAAACAGTAACATATTTTCACCAGAAAGAGGAGCAAATAAATAATATTAACAAAAACTCTTTGTACAAGTTAGAATGCTTTGTAAAAAATTAAAAGAGAAAATCAAGGGTTAGCCTGTTCGGTTTTACTTTCTTTTTCTTCATTTTTTCCTTCTTTTTTTCCCTTGCTGGGAATTCAATCCAAGACTTTGCAGAAACCTACATTCCCAGCCATTTATTCAGTTTGAAATTTTAAAACAGGGTCTTTCCAAGCAGTTAATTGCCCAAACTGGGCTCAAACTTGTCCCCCTCCTGCCTCAATTGTCTCTTTCTCCATTTCATAGAATTGAGCAGTGTTTTACCTTTATATTTAGAGCTAATCTTTCACTTTCTGTTTATATATTTTACATATTTTTACCTCTCGGTCATCCAACCTTCTTTATGTTTCCTTTTGCCCCAGAAATACGTACACATGTGGCATAGTGAGTGATGTCGCTATCATTGTGACACTTGTGGACATGCAGATACCACTGTGCATGAAGAGACACACTTCTTTGTTGTTCTTTAATTTTTAATGAAGAGAAGTATTGTAAAATGGATTATTCAGTGCTAGTGAGATAGCTCAGTGGATTAAATCACTTCTTAGGCAAGCTTAGGCAAGAGCAGGGACCACGGTTCAATCCCTAGCACCACATGGTATGCCAGCCCTATCGTGGGGGGTGCTGAGCTGGCCACTGAGACTGGGAATGGTGGCACACACCTGTAATCCCACAGCTGCGGAGACTAAAAGCAGGAGGATCATCAGGAGTCCCAGCTGTGTAGTGAGACCCTGAACCAAAGACAGCAAAATAAATAAAAATAAAGAGGGTTATTTTTCCTTGATGAGTGAATTCATATCAAAGTTAATTCAATGCCCTTAGTAAGTGGAACTTTAAGATTACAAACTAGGGGGTCAGGATGTAGCTCTGTAGTACAGCACCTGCTTGGCAAGTGTGAGGCCCTGAATTTGATTCCCAGT